TTTCATCTAATCAATTCATATTTTAGTTTTGATGCTTAATTTCACTTAATCTGTTTCCAATTTTTGTGGGTTGGTTGAAATTCCAACAACTGTTACTTAAATTTTTTTCTTGGTTTGTTAGTATAAATGGATTGAATGTGTGGCTTGGCTTCATGTTTTAAACAATAAAACATTATGTGAAATAAATAAAAATAAAAACATGTAGTTCTCAATTCTACTTCTTTATCATCGGCTTCAATTCATCGAGGACCGTCTACCTGCCCTGAGCCATTAGTCCAAAACCGCAGGTCGCCTCGTTGTCGGCCAACCAATTGAATCCGGCGTGTTAAATTTTGGTACGCAACTCTTTATCATTCAATCGTCCGTGTTTGTTAGTTCCTTTTTGATGATCTCTATCTCTTATTTTGGAATTTGAAAATTTGCAACTCTTGTTTCTACCAAATCATCTTTATTGTATGCATCATAATTTGAAAAATACTGTGAGTTGAAAATAGCACTTTATAAATATCTTCAAAGGGCTTTTCATTCTGAATTGTTATGCATTAACCGTTGTTTTTATGTTGCTCAACAGTTGTTTTGTTATTATTTTGTTGTTGTTTTGTCGTTGTTTTATTGTTACGTGAAAGTTTTTTTTTCCAGTTTTTTGTGTCATTTAATTTCTTGCAGGACTATAATTTTGTCTGTGTGTATTCTTTATTATTATTATTATTATTATTATTATTATTATTATTATTATTATTATTATTATTATTATTATTATTGATGTTGTTGTTAATTCAATTTAACAAATATTTATGTTGCTTTTTGGTAATTTAATTTTATGTATGTATATAATCAATTTGATTGTTATTATTATTATTATTATTATTATTATTATTATTATTATTATTATTATTATTATTATTATTATTATTATTATCATTTTTTTTGTTTCTTATCCTTAGGTGTTGATATTTGAAGAAGAAAAAGAAGAAGAAGAAGAAAAGGGAAGAAGAAAGAGAAAACATGAACGACTAAGAAAATGGAAGAGGTAGAAGAACATGAAGACAAAAATAGGAGAGAGAAAGAAGAAAGAAGAAAAATAAGAGAATAAAAATAGGATGAGAGAGAATAGTTGGTTATTGATTTAATTTTTTGAATTAATTCTTTTAATTTTTTGTGTTTGCCTAAATTTGCCCAATTTTGGAGTATATTGGGTATTGTGTATGGATAGTTACTGTTGTGGAATATTAGTCTTAAATGGGGGCAGTTAAAAATTTTTCCCGTTTAAAATCTTAAATTCGAACACACATCTCTTATACTATATTCTAAGTGTTAACTCGTTTGAATTATTAACCATCTTTTTATGCTTTCATATTTACCCATCCAAATCCCCATTCTCTCATCCTAAAAATTGGATAGTAATAATGAAACTTACTGACCTATTAGGAACTTTCACCGGTAAAAATGAAAAAGTTCGTTGGGTTCGTCGTAGATCTTACGATACGAGACTATCTAAAAACACAGACAATCCACCACACCATATAATAAAGAAGAAAAGGAACTCCGAAAGAATCATTCTATATTTAACGGTGTGGGAAACGATCACAATGACTTACATCTGCAAAAAAAGAATATCCCCATATGGAGTGACAAATATATAAAGAGAAAAATCTTACACAGCCTTATTACCAAGACAAAAAATGTAAATCATAAAACCAAAAATATCAAGCAAAAACAAATACACAACTGTTACAACCGAATGAGAACCTCAGGCTGCCGTAAAATCCTCCTTCTCTTCCACATCCATCACGTACCTGCTCAAAAACTGTTGACCATGTTGCCCCTCAGCAGTAAAAATTCTACAAAAAAACAAACCAGCTCCAACATCAGGCAGCCCAAATCATCTGACCTGCGAAGCCGAACTCAGCAAGCCCGATGCATCCGACCCAATCATTGAGAGATCGCACACCACGCACGTCTGCCCCTGCTGTGATAGAACATAGTGGGTACCACAGTAAGGGCATGCCACGTCCTTCTGCCCCCTGTAGATCGGTACGTACGTGGCCCCACACACCACAAACGGGTTCCTGAAGTCATAGTTCAGCTGGGTCGCATCCCTCATGTTCCTCTCGGCCGCCTGCAGCACCTGGCGGGCCATTTTCGCCTGGTTCTCAACACTCGGGTTCGTCTCCAGGAGCCTCCTAGCGAAATTAGCCGCCGTGCTTAGGTTCTGCGCTTTGAAGCAAACAGTCATGGCGTTCATCAACGCGAGCCTCGTGTGCGGAAGCTGCAGGTTGCAGTGCGTGAAGTAAGCCGCGAGCTCCTGCTGGCGGACCGGATTGTCCTTCAATTCCTTCCTCTTGAGCTCCATCTGCAAACCGAGAACGTACTCTCTCACGATCACAATCAGCTCCTTCACCTCGTCCACCTCTCGTCGTGTCTTCACCACTAGCAACGGGATCGTGTGGAGGATGGACTGGAACTTCTTCAAGGCCTCGGAGAATTTCCCGGCAGTCGTGGCCTTGTAGCAGGCTTTGAGCTTCTCCTCGAGCTGTGGGAAATTGAAGACGAGGGCCGGGGGCCCACGGACGTTCGGGCTCGTTGACTCGCTCCAGTCCTCCTCGATTGCGGTCGAGACGACGGGGGCAGAGGCGAAAGCACGCAAGTAGGTATGGCTGCCCATGTGGAGGTCAACAAACCGAGATTTTAACGGGCCGAAATTCCTGATGCCCAGCTGGCGACTAAGCAGGCGCATGGCGGTATCGAAGTTGCCAGCAGCAGCATGCTCGGCGGCCAGGGACGAGCGCTGGACCCATATCTGGCTCACGGGCATGCCTGGGGTGGGGGCCACAAAGACTGACGAGCGGGCACTGTTATTCAACTTCGTTGGGGTCTCGGCATCGGCGGGTAGGTCGAGGTCCTCCAGGTCCCAACCGCCCTCCTCGCCGTCCTCATCCCCACGCTCGTCGACGAGCCCGCTGATGTCACCGTTTTCAATGTTGTCCACATCAGCAATGTCCAGAGCCTCGCCCCAGTCGGCATCGGCTGCCTCGTCATAGTAGTCCTCTTCGGCAGGGCCCCTGGCCGCCTCGTCTAGGCCGCCCTCGAATATGCCCTTACTGACCATTAATAGAGGCCAGTCCCCGGCACACAGCACGGGACCCGGCGGTATCAGAAGAGAAGCCTTTTTCCCCTCGGGAAGAGAGGGAACGTTCTCACCCAGTTCAGCAGCCAAGCGCTCGGCAGTTTCGTGCAGACCGTGGACCGAGGCTGTGATGTACGCGAGGGGGAGGTGGCCTGCGTTCTCCAGAATCTTCACACGCTCACGAACATCCCCAAGATACAACGCATCGTGAAACTGGCCCATGACATCGTTCTTGACTTCAGCAATTTTCATCATCTTGGAGAGTTTATCGAGATTTCCCGTTATAAGGTAGTGGAAGGAGAGGCGCTCGAAGTTTTTGGTCTTCTGGTACGCGTACTCGACAATGCCGGCATTCCCCTGGCGGAGAGCCTCCACGCCCAGCCTGTACCAATGGTCCTTCTCGTCTATTCTCTTGGCGGACTCGAGAGCTTTCTCAATGTTCCCGCTCTCAAGGGCAAGGTTGAAGCGGGTCCGTTCG